TTCCCCCAGACAAATGGTGTGTTGGGAGTTGTGCAGAGTCCAGGGGGAGTGGGTTGACTGGGGGGGTGGGTGTCCAAGTGGTGAGAAAGGCGGTGGTTCACTGTCAGCATGGTAGGAATGACTTGGGTTTAAAAGAAGAAGAAGTAATTTCAAAGAAACTTTCTTTTACAACTTTTTCTCCCTGTGAGAAACCACAGTTTACTTCTCAATATTTTGAAAGGTCTATTAAAAACTTAATCAAACTTACAACAAAAGGACTAAATAAGGAAAAAATCATGGTGCTTGGAGCCTCCCCCACTTCGTGGCTGGTAACCACGTAGCTGGCTCATCCACACAATGGATGCTCTCCCTTTTATATCCTTGCTGTTGCAAGAGGCAGCCCGAACTCCTCCCAAAGGCTGTCTGTTGACTCTTCCTCGCTGTCCATTGGTGTAGACTGCTTTCTTGGAACTGGACTGGAGGACAGGTGGTGCTCAGCCGTGCCCCTTAGGAACAATTTGCCCCTCCCCAAATGCCCGGACTACCAAGATCATCCCAGGATAACAATGCTGGGTGGGGAGGACACATTGCAGTAACATAACTATACACCTGTACAACTTCTCTTAACATACTTATCATATTCACCCTTCAATTGGGAGAGCCAAACATCTCATTACTCATCTCTAACACTGTGGCATTCACATTCTCTGAAAAAATCCATTTGCCAAGGATTTTTCTCCCGGGAAAGGAAAACAAATCTTATCTCATTTGCTTCTCCTGTGTTGTGCTCATGTGAGGAATGTGTTTGGAGATTGTTTACCCACAGGTGGTTTCTTTGATTGGATTCCGGTGGGAGATATTTTGACTCATTGGCCAATTATGGCCAAGCTGTGTCGAGATTGTGGAAACAGCCAGGAGTTTTCATTATTATCTTTTGAACATTCACTAAGTATCCTTTCTGCATTCTTCAGTATAGTATAGTATAGTATAGTATCGTATAGTATAGTATAGTACAGTATAGTATTCTTTAATAAAATACAGTATTGTAAAGTAATAGATTAGCCTTCTGAGAACATGGAGTCAAATGCAACATTGCTGCCTTCGTTGGGCATCCCTGCAAATACAATATAACACCCCCAAAATTTTTTATTTACTCAAAAGAATTTAAATGCCAAAAAAAATCTTCCTATGTCAAAAGTATGTTAAAATTATTTATTGGTCTTGAAATTTGGTTTACTGGTGGGATGGGGCTGCTGGGTCTACCTGTCTACGGGGCACTGTGGGGCTGTGGGGTTTCCTGGGTGAGGGGCCCTATACGGTCGCCTGTAATGCCTGGCGACGGTGGGGTAGAGCCACCACGGTGTCCTGGNCCCGAGAGCACTCAGGCCCTGCAGCAACACCAGGGCCACCAGGGCAGCGGGGCAGGGCCACGGCAGCAGCACTGGCAACACCAAGTGCTGCTGCTGCTGGGCACAGCTGCTGGGCCAGCACTGATCTGCCCCAGCTCTGCACACAGACATTGCTGCTGCAGCTCCAGAGAAGGCAACAAAAGGGCATCTCTGCAGAAAACTTTGTTGGGAGATCCTTTGGATCCTTTAAAGCCACCAAGAGTGCAGCCCCTCATTGACACAGTCTGTGGCCACAGGGAAGGTGGAGAGAAACAAAATGAGAAATGGCACAAGGAATGGCTTTACTTTGTTGACAATATGAAAAAAATTAAAACAAAGTAAAGAGATCTCCAAAATGAAACCAACACGAAGTATCAAAAATGAGTTTTATTACAAGTGATTTGCAGAAATTGACCAAAAGTTTAATGTTTCTGTAAACATCCAGTCATCAGTCTCCAAACTGCAGCCTTGAGCTCCTGGTTCCTCAGGCTGTAGATGAGGGGGTTCAGGGCTGGAGGCACCACCGAGTACAGAACTGACAGGGCCAGATCCAAGGATGGGGAGGACATGGAGGGAGGCTTCAGGTGAGCAAAGCTAACTGTGCTGAGGAACAGGGAGACCACAGCCAGGTGAGGAAGGCAGGTGGAAAAGGCTTTGTGCCGTCCCTGTTCAGAGGGGATCCTCAGCACAGCCCTGAAGATCTGCACATAGGAGAAAACAATGAACACAAAACAGGTAAATGATAAGCAGGCACTAACTGGAATGAACCCAAGTTCCCTGAGGTAGGATTTGGAGCAGGAGAGCTTGAGGATCTGTGGGATTTCACAGAAGAACTGGCCAAGGTCATTGCCATGGCACAGGGGCAGGGAAAATGTATTGCACGTGAGCAGCAGAGCAGTGAGAAAGGCAATGGCCCAGGCAGCTGCTGCCATGTGGGCACAAGCTCTGCTGCCCAGGAGGGTCCCGTAGTGCAGGGGTTTGCAGATGGACACGTAGCGGTCGTAGCACATGATGGTCAGGAGATAGTACTCNCCCTGGCCTGGTTCGTCAATTCAATCTGACGCAGGAGCAGGCCAAGGCGATAGTGGCCACATGTCCCCAAGGCCAGCAAGATCAAATGCCTACCATAGCCTCGGGGGCTAATCCCCGAGGTTTGGCAAGCTGCGAGCTGTGGCAGATGGATGTAACGCACATTCCATCTTTTAGTCGATTGTGTTATGTCCACATCTCAGTGGATACCTTCTCCGAGGCGATCTATGCTTCTGCCCACCCAGGTGAAAGGGCAGCAGATGTTCAGAGGCATCTGCTCCAGGCATTTGCTGTCTTGGGCATCCCTAGAACCTTAAAAACAGATAACGGCCCTGCATATGCTTCCAAAGAGCTGCAAAGCTTTCTGCAGCAATGGAGAATAGTGCATAAAACCGGCATCCCCTATTCCCCGACAGGCCAAGCCATGGTGGAAAGAGCTCACCAGAGCCTTAAGAAAATCCTATCCCGGCAACAACCGGCGATGAAAGCAGAGACCCCCCAAGTCCAGCTATCAAAAGCATTGTATACACTCAACTTCCTGAATTGCTCTTTTGACAGCCAAAACCCTCCAACAGTCCGACATTTCAGCAGTCACCAGCAGCTGCAGCCTAAAACCAAGCCACCGGTTCTTGTAAAAGATCCGGAGACCTGGCGGACGGAGGGCCCCTTTGACCTGGTAACTTGGGGGAGGGGATATGCCTGCGTGTCCACTCCCTCGGGTCCCAAGTGGGTACCATCTAAGTGAGTCAGGCCCTTTGTCCCGAAGCAGGGGATCAAGAAGGAGGCAGTACCACAAGTCCGGCAAGCATGTTGGCATCAGCAGAAGAAACTATCCCATCAATCCTCCTCATACTCTCCAGATCTCACTCCAGTAACTGAAGAACCCTGTCCCCCAGCTTCTCCTCCACCCCTTGACCTTTTATACCACCTTTCCTCCTTTTCCCTCCCGGCTCCAACCATCACCCCTCGTGAGTTTTACTTAAATTAGTTTTTTGGGGAAGAACCATATCTGTGAATCCTGCATACTTTTACAGTTCTCCTTTCATTTCAGTTTTATCTCCCCGAATGGCCTCCGAATTGACAACGCTGGCTCTCAACCCTTGTTTGTTGTTGACCGTGCTGATGACCTGCGGATTCCTTCTGCCACCTGCGGAGCCGTGGGTCATCCCCCAGCCAAAAATCAACGTCTGGCGTGCCTTGGCCCAATCATTAGGACAGGACAGTATATGCCTTGACACCGGCGCAGCAGAGGCCCCGATGTCGTCTTGCCTTGTGGGGATCCCTTTCTCCCCAGGCGAGTTCCCCTCTGCCTTCCAGCCTGCCCTTTCCCCCGTTTTGGCCCAGAGCCTAACTTTCCTCCCCAGTTTTGAACCCAGAAACGCCAGGAGGAACGGAGTAGCTAGGCTGAGTCCTACGCCCTCCGAGCCCACCGAGCTGCACCTACTCGGTTCCGCTAACGCTTCAATTTGTTTTCAATATCTGTGGTTTGTTAATGAAACCAAGATTTGTTTTCTCACCCTGATATGAAAGGTTCTCAAGGCCTTCATGTTTGTCACTTTTGCTTTACCAAAACTTATCCAAGGACAAGATATTTACTTGTTATTAAAAACAACCTGAGAACTTCTGCTGTTTACATAAAAGTGCCTGAGAATTTTGTTGTTTAAAGAGATGTGCCTGAGAACTTTGTTGTTTACAGAAACAGGCTTTGAGAATTTGCTCCTCACAGCTGCCTTTTATTTTTCCATCAGTATATTTTCATGGCCTTTTTTTCCTTCAAGCCATGTCTGAGCAAAATTCTCCAACAGGTCTCCATAAAGAATATCAGATATCTATGGACGAGGCACGGGCAATAGTCAAAGCCTGTCCCATATGTAGTCTTCATAATGGGGGCTGCGGGTTAGGTCTGGGAGTTAACCCAAGAGGGTTGAGTACAAATGAGACCTGGCAAATGGATGTCACACATGTTGCTGAGTTTGGTAGGATGAAGTATGTGCATGTTACTATAGACACCTATAGTCATTTTATATGGGCTACAGCACAGACTGGTGAGAAAGTTGGGCAAGTGGAGAGGCATCTCAGCAGCTGCTTTGCTGTAATGGGAGTGCCACAGTGTATTAAGACAGATAACGGGCCTGCCTACTGCAGCAAAAGAATAAAGCAGTTTATGCAAATGTGGGGAATAGCACATGTGACAGGCATTCCTAATTCCCCGACAGGGCAAGCAATCGTAGAAAGAGCTAATGGTACCTTGAAAAGATATCTAGGTAAATACAAGGATATTAGAGACCTGCAAGGACGACTGTTAAGGTGTTTATTTATTTTAAATCACTTGTGTGTTTTTGGGGAAAGCAAGGTTCCTGCTGTAATTCGCCACTATGTACAGGAGAAAGAGAGTGTAAAGCAGAACATATGGGTAAAATACAGAGATCCCAAAACAGGACAATGGCAAGGTCCTGCTAATGTTTTATACTGCGGCTGAGGATATCTTTGTGTCTCTACCTCTACAGGATCCTTATGGGTACCCGCTAAATGGACCCGAGCAGCTGTGTTAGATGGAACCACCAGAACTCCATCAACTGAGCACAGAAGACCGTCAGCGAGTAGAGATGAAGCTGTTGATCATCCTTTGACCAATACTTCTTAAACTGAAAGGACAGTGTAGTTTGGCTATCGACGGAGCGATTGAGCAGTGTAAATCCTTAGATTATATACTAAGCCTGCTTCAAGCGCTTTCTATGTTTGAATTTAGAGGGCTTAGGAACCTAGCTTGTATTGATTGTCATAATAGACAGTGCGCTGCATGGGTATTGTTTTTTTGCGGGGGCTGTCAGCAAACTAAGTGGGTACATCAGACTCAATTACCTGACTTGTGGTGCAGGAACTGTGGATTTTATTGGCAGTTGGGCTCCTGGCAAGCAGAACTCCAGGCCCTAACAGGATTACCTGGCTACCAAGGGTTACAGTTGTATGAATCACCAGAACAGAAAATTATTGTATGGTTTAGGTGGGAAACCCAGCATTTAGTTAAACATGCTTTGGGACAGTCCAAGTCGCATATTTTACAGACTATGTGTGGTAGGGGTATTCCTCTTTCACAGACAAGTATAATAGGTCCAATTTCTGCAGATCAAGATCCCAACCAAGCATGGGACAATTGTCTGAGAGACCTAAAGAGGTTAAATCTGGGCAGATCAAGGAGAAGGAAGGGGAAAGGAAAGAAGACACATCCTTAACGACTTGTGGGAAACATGTTTATCTCTCAAATGTCTGGGTGGTTCAAAGCAGTGCCCGGGGAGACCAGGGTGATGTGGCAAATTTATGCTGTTACCTTGCTAATCCTCACCCTCTTAGCAGACAGTGCAGATGCGGCCGGAAAAGTGAAAACTCATCATGCATGGGCCCCACCTCAGCCTAAGACTAACATTTGGGTCACCCTGGCAAACTTAACTAACCAGGAGGCTATATGCCTGTCATTATCTTCTCCCAGTATTCCATTTACAACTTGCTTGGTAGGGCTGCCAGCAGATCCCTGGCCATGTCCCTCAGGTGTACCCACCTGCAAAACTGACAATCCCAAGACAAGTGTAGATAATTGGGACCAATGGGTTTCTCACTTCCCCATAGCACCACAGGAACCCCAAGAACTGGAGCTGTTAGGTCAGTGATGGCAGATGCATGTTTTAATTTAACCATAGAAGCCAGCTTTCAGCAAAAAACAATTCCACTATTGTAACTTCCAGCATGGCTGTGTATCGTAATGCAACAGCTTGGTGCAATTATACCACAGGGGAAGTGTCAATCTCATCAGATGACCGTATTCAATTGCCAGCAGGTTACTTCTTAATCTGTGGGGACTGTGCTTGGCCTGGTGTCTCATCGATGCTGCACGGGGGGCCATGTACAATTGGACGGCTGTCTCTGCTTACACCCAATACGTCCATGATATTAAACATGAGCCACTGCCATCTTCAACATAAGAGAATGATCCATGCATTTACTGCTGACTGTAGGGACGATGTAAAATTTTGGTCCCCAGGAGCCATAATTGCATCATCCTTTTTGGCTCCAGGGGTGGCAGCTGCAGGTGCCCATGGTGCCTTAAATAATTTGGGATGCTGGCTTGCAAAGCAAACCAATGCCACCTCTTTGGCACTTTCTAGACTTTTGCTTGAGGTTAATTCAAAAAAGAGCTGCAATTGACTTTCTTTTACTTGCACAAGGCCATGGCTGTGAAGAATTTGAGGGCGTGTGTTGCATGAACCTTTCTGACCATTCGCAGTCCATCCACGCCCAGCTCTCTGAATTGGGGGGGGTTAACTGGAAACTTACAGGTAGAATCAGGTTTCGGTATTGATGCATGGCTCTCATCGTTAGGCCTGGGATAATGGTTACCCTCTATTGTTAAAGTTAGCATTATAGTGGGCATTATAGCTCCGTTAGTAGTGTTAATTTTGCCATGTTTTTGCATGTGCTTACAGAACATGGTGCAAAGGATGATATCCGCTGCATTTAATCAGACTATGCTTGCTCAACAGAAAAACTAGGGAAGTGGAGAGCTTTGTGGACAGTTGGTTAGCTGAGAAAGGTCACATCGACATAATACTGCTGGTCAAGCTAGAAGGGGACAAGTATAGGAGTCAGTAGTCAGTGTCCAATAACAGGCAAGGACATTGTGCCCTTGGTGCAACAACAGGATAGGGAAGAAAATCTTTGGCAGAAACATGAAGAATAGTTTCAATAGAATAACCACAAGAATGCAGAAGTAGGCGTAGTTGGCTGATAAGTAACTAACCAATAGTGAGCTTGCCTTTGCAATATGTATGAGCTTCATTAACACTGATATAAAGATGTGTACCTATCAATAAAGTTTGAGACTTGCTGATCACTCATATTGCGTGCCGCATTTCTCCCGCCGATCCCAACACTGGGTGGTGACAGTCTTGGCACCAGGACATTGCTGTGTTTTGTCTTCTTTTTCCAAAAAATTGCTGCTCCCCCACTGGTGCATCCCGTGTTACCCACCTTAACTCCACCCTGACTCCCTTCCCCATTGGATCACTTGTACCCTGACCCCTCCTGCCTTCCTCCAGTTATATATCCTGGCCCCAGCCCTGCTCCTGGCTCTTCGCCTCTGGTTCCCTTCAGCAGAGGTTGTGTTCCTGCTTGCTCCTGTTTCCCTCTGCACCCTCACTTCACCTGGACCCTTGGATTTTCCCTTAATAAACCCGGCTGGATCTGCTATGCGAGGAGTCCTCTCCTCCCTCTGGTGAGGCTTTGATTGCACAATCCAGGCTCAGGCATCTACTGGGCTGGGGGAATTGTCAAGGCAGCCCCAAGTGGAGACGCTTTTGGTGCTGCAGGCACCTGACAGCACCTGCCTGGGGAAGATGCTCTGGCCACCCACAGCAACCAATTCCTTTTCCCAAGCAGCAGCTCCCAGCGTCCTCCTCCACAGCCCAGAGAGAGAGGGAGCAGCTGCCCTCAGCCCTGTCCTTTACCGCATCCCCATTCTCATGGAATGTCCCCCCTCGGAGAGAAACTCCCAGAGAAGAGAGGTGCGACCAGATCCCCTCCTCCCCTGAGCTTGATCACTTCTTTTGTTTCTGAAGGGCCCAGTCCATCAGAGCAGTGGTATTGCACTGACAGCTGGGACACCAGCAGGGGATCACCCCACACTGCCCAGTGTGCGCCAGGCTCAACAAGGTCTGCTTCCCCCCTGATTCCACCAGGCCTCTTCCCTTGGCTGTGGTTTTGATGGATAGTGGGTCAGGACAGTGAGAACCTCCTTCATCCATTCATTCACTATTTAGGGCCCTGCAGACACTTCCTCAATTTCTCTCCAAGGTGACCTCAGCCCACCAATGATGTCACAGCTCTTGTCCATCTGGTCAAGAATCTCCCACGAGGACACTCTGATCTCTCTTCCAACAGCACAAAGCAGCAAAACCCCTGAGGAAAATCTTCCCCCTTGGGCCCTGTGCCTCCTTGGGTGAGTTCCAGAGCAAACAGGGCAGTGGCCTGAAATGTTTTCCCAGCTGAGTCATAAGACTTCTCTGATGGATCCACATTGTCCCTGGGGAAAGAGATGTGCAGAACCCTTCACTAATGCCCTGGAATGTCAAAAAGGACTCACAGCCATAGACAGCTCTTGGGAACCACTTCACTGTGGATTTTCCTTCCTGAAAGCCCAAGATGTCTGAATGTCCTCCTGGTGCCTCAGGGCCTGGGTAAACAGGGCTTGTCAGAGATGCTGGCAGGGCACCAACACCCCTCCTCCTCACAGGGCACCTCTGTTACCCCAATTAGCTCCGAGTGGCTGCCTGGGGACAGGTGCCCACTTCCCCATGTCCCTGGGATGGGCACATCCTGCTCAGGGCCAGTGCTGGCCTTGGCCCAGAGCCAGGGCCATGACCCAGGTGCTCTGGGAGGGCTCCGTGGCTGACAGGATGAGGGGCAGGGCATATTCCCCTCTGGACAATGCTCTGGGCATGGAGCTTGGTCGGGTTTGGCATATGCAGAGAAATGGGTATCAGGTTGTGTGGATGTGGGAATTGTCACTGCTGAGCCATTCCCCAGCCCTCAGCCTTGTCTGCAGGTGATCAGCATTGCCCAGTGCTCCCGTGTCTGCAGTGCCTGAGATGACAATCAGCCACCTGATCACATGTCCCTTGTTACCCTTGCTCTCCCACATGCTGGGTTTGGGGCTGGGCTAAGCTCTGGGGTGTCCCCCAGGGAAAGCTCTAGGAGGGGCAGCAGGAGATGTGGGATCTGGCACTGGGGGCTGTTGGAGGATGGATTGTGTTGGACTGGGGCTTGTCCCAACAGGGTCCCCAGGTGCCTTTGGCTCCCTGCCTGCCCCCCTTGGCCCCCCAGGTGCCTGAGCCCTTCCAGGGGCAGTTGCCCAGTGCAGGAAGCTGGAGGGATGCCGGGCAAGGGGGCTGGATCCGTGCCACAGGTGGGGTGGGATGGACTCTGTGCCAGGGCTGGGCTTGTGGGCAGGGCTGGGGGCTGTGCTAAAGCTCTGCTTCAATCCCNCAGCCACGGCGACCCCCAGGGGGGCAGGAGACCCTCGTGCCCTGTGCCCTCACAGGGAGCGGTCAATTTTGCATCCCTGCCAACGGTGTGGTGGCAGAGCGGGGCAGCACCGCCGGTAACACCCTCGCACCCCCCACCGCCACAGGCTGCACTGTTGCCACAGGACCAGCGGGAGACGCCCCAGAGCGGGACCGCTGGGTAGCCTTGGCCATGAGAATAGAGAAGGAACCCCTAAAGGTGTGTGGGACATGCCGCCTTAACGGCAGTTGGGATCCGCCGACCATGGGGTTTCAGTTCTGGGCGGACACGGGACCAGACTGCAAGATTTTCCCTGGTCGCAGCACCATCGGCAAGCCAAGTAGATCACCTGGTGTCCACAATCACGGAAACCCTTCAGGCCAACGGTTTCAAGATCGCGAGCGCAAAGATCAAGAGAGGACCCCGTGTGACTTTCCTGGGAGTGGGGATCACAAGCTCCTACGTGACACCTCCCGAGGCGAATGTCTGTTGAGACGTCAAAACACTACATGACGCACAACGCCTGGTGGGATCGCTGCAGTGGCTTCGCAACATTGTCCTGATCCCTCCTGAGGTCATGGGCCCCCTATATGACCTCCTGAAAGGAAAGCACCCCTGGGAACCCAAGGAGCTCACGCCGCAAGCAACGAGCTCCCTCGACTTCATCGAAAGCCAGATGTCCACAGGCACACTCGCCAGGTGGAACCCAGCCATGCCACTGGACTTATATGTTCACTTTACACCGAGAGGGGGAGTGGGAGCACTGGCTCAAGGACCTTCTGAAAAGGCCCGACCGATTCAATGGGTGGTTCTCGGAAGACCTGCCCATGCTTTCTCCCCGGGAATCGAATGCATCGCTAACCTCATCATGAAAGGCAGGAAACTCGCTTTGAAACACCTAGGGACTGAGCCGACAAGCATCCACCTTCTGTTTCGCAAGCAACCAACCACGGAGTCAGCCACAATATCGGAGTACCTAGCCCTTGCTCTCACCGGCTTCGGAGGAGAAATCTTCTACTGCTCCAAACCACCCTGGACTCAGCTGCTGACCGTAGTTGACATGGACATACCGCCAAAGGTCAAAGACCGACCGCAGCCAGGACCAACGTTCTTCACAGACGCTTCCTCCACAACTTCAACCGCAGCAGCAGTGTCTGGGCAGTCAGGAGAACAATGGCATTGCGTCAAAGCAGTGACCCCACACTGTCAGTGCAACAACTGGAGGCGACAGCAGTCATCTTGGCGTGCGGACTCTTTCAAGAGGAACACCTTAACATAGTAACGGACTCTATATTCGTGGCAAGGCTTTGCCTAGCCATGGCAGGACCAGGAGTGTCTACATCAGCAGCAGCCCTAATGCTGGAAGAAGCACTCTCCTCGCGACAGGGCACCGTGTCAGTCATTCACGTCAACAGCCATGACCCAGTCAAAGGTTACTTCCAGATCGGCAACGACAAAGCGGACGCCGCAGCAAAAGGCGTATGGACATAGGAGGAAGGCATATGGATGAGCAGGAAGCTCGTCAGCTGCACGAGTCGCTCCACATCGGAGCCAAAGCACGCCAGTGAAGAAGAGATGCGGGATCCCAACCGCAGACGCAAAACACGTGGTAGCCACTTGTCCTCATTGCCAGAAGTCACCCCTATGGACCTGTGGGATCAACCCGAGAGGTCTCAAGCCTTCAGAGATCTGGCAATCGGACTTCACCTGGTGTGAACTGCTGAAGCCCCGAGCATGGCTTGCAGTGACAGTAGACACTTATAGCGGAACGATCATAGCCACACAGCACCACAAAACAAACTCCAAGGCCACAATTCAGCACTGGCTGACAGCCATGGCTTGGCTTGGTATCCCCAAGCAGATCAAAACAGACAACGGGTCCAATTTCACCTCCAAACCAGTACAGGAATTCGCCTCAAAATGGGGCATCACATTAGTGCAAGGTATCCCATATAACAGTGCCGGGCAGGCCATAGTAGAGAGGGAAAATCAGACCCTGAAAACCAAGTTAGAAGTATTGGCAAAAGCAGAGGGCTTTGCCAATGGCATTCCCTCGGGAGATCAAGCGCGCATGCTGGCAACTGCTTTGCTAGCACTGAATCAGTTCCCTAGGGGATATGAAACAAACAGTCCTGTCCAAAAGCACTGGGCCAACCGAATGCTAGAGGAGGGCCCACAGGTGGTAATTAGAAACGAGCTGGGCAAATGGGAACGGGGCTGGAGGCTGACGCTCACGGGGAGAGGGTATGCGGCTGTCAAAAAGGACGGCAAAGTCAGGTGGTGTCCACTTAGACTGACGAGAATTGTGAGTTTCTGTTTACAAGACATGCTCATAGGACGTCCTTGTGACGCGTACATGCCCATCCCAGAGGAAAGTGACAGACCACCAAGCCGCCAGGCAGCGCCCATGAGACCCGCACGGGTGAGACCCAAGCATCAACGGTGTTTCTGTGTGATTTTGCTGTTGGGGCTTGTTGCCAGAGGGCAAGCCAGCCCAGACCACTACCCCCATCAGCCATTCAGGTGGTTCATGGGACACCTTAGTAGCGACAAGGTGCTCAGAGAAATCACCACACCAAACACTCCATCCTTCGTGCTCCAGGTAACCGACCTGTTTCCAGGACAACCAAAGGTAGACCCCAATTCCCTACACGCCACACACACGTACCTATCCTACTAGTGCCCAGCTTCAAACCCAGGAAAAAGCTACTGCAATCACCCAGGGTGGGGATATTGCGGGCACTGGGGCTGCGAAACCATAGTTACAGATGCCAGACCGTCGGGGCCTGGGTGGGATCCACAAGAGCCCGACAAATTCTTACAGTTCACCTGGGCACCCAGCGGCTGCAAAACACACGTCTTCCTCCAGGGAAACTTTTATCGCAATCATCATAAAATCCCAAAAATTTGGAAATGCACTAGCTATAACATGATAGTCTTGCAGCCACATCACCCCAGTTGGGCCATAGGCCGAACGTGGACAGTAGTCCTTCAAGGGTCAAAAGANAGCTTCCCCTGAAATGGAGAATGTAAACCCTTCCCACCCCTCCAAATTGCTATAAATTTTAAATTAAGGGGGCTCTCAGGCAAAAATATGGGAGCAGGAAATAACAGTTCTTTAATACCTAAGAAAAAAAAATAAAGGATAAAATAAATAATGCAGTACACTAGAACAACAGTGACAGAGTCAGAACCCAACCTGACACCCTGTGGGTCAGGATGCTGGTGGCAGTCCAGTTGGAAATGTGGCTGCAGCCCTCCTGAAGCGTCAGATGTGGTTCTGCTGGAGCGGGGGGTATCTGTAGAGAAGGATGTATTCTTCCTCTGAAGACCCAGTGGGAGAAGAGACACCTGCTGTTCCTCTGGGGAATCTCGTGGAGAATACTGTGCTGGTGTCTCAAAAACCTCTGGATTATATCTGGGTAGCAATGCTGGGCTCCTCCCTCTGGGCGGAGCATCTCACAATGGGATGTTATAGTTCTTATCAGTCATGCAGTGACATTCAATAGTCTGTTATCAGCAGATGTCCCCTCCCGAGGGAGGTGTGAATGTGGTCACTCAAAGAGAGAGATAAAGCAAACTGCCCACTTGACAAATGATAATCTGCCATACAGATGGTAATTGAAAACATCTTGCATTGCAATCTTCAATACCAGCGTACACCAGATCTTGGCAGGGAATGTGCTGACACTGAGAAATTGCCAAATGTTAACTTTCTGTGCCAGCAACCTGCTGGAATTATGCTGTGCAGGCATCTGAAGTATTCCAGATCTGGGCACTGGTGGTGTCAGCAAACACAAGATTGGGCTGGTGTAGGCAGCCGTTATTTCCCTGGTTTGGGTTTCTTTGCCAGCAAATTGCTGCACTTGGGCTGTGATGCCCAGATCTGGGCAAGGGCGGTGCCATCAAATACCAGGTCTGGGTGGTGACAGTCTTGGCACCAGGAAATTGCTGCTGTTTTGTCTTCTTTTTCCAAAAAATTGCTGTTCCCCCATTGGTGCATCTCGTGTCACCCCACCTTAACTCCACCCCGACTCCCTTCCCCATTGGATCACTTGTATCCTGACCCCTCCTGCCTTCCTCCAGTTATATACCCTGGCCCCAGCCCTGCTCCTGGCTCTTCGCCTCTGGTTCCCTTCAGCAGAGGTTGTGTTCCTGCTTGCTCCTGTTTCTCTCTGCACCCTCACTTCACCTGGACCTTTGGATTTTCCCTTAATAAACCCGGCTGGATCTGCTGTGTGAGGAGTCCTCTTGTTCCTCTGGTGAGGCTTTGATTGCACCATCTGGGCTCAGGCATCTACTGGGCTGGGGGAGTTGACAAGGCAGCCCCAAGTGGAGATGCTTTTGGTGCTGCAGGCACCTGACAGCACCTGCCTGGGGAAGATGCTCTGGCCACCCGCAACAACCAATTTCTTTTCCCAAGCAGCAGCTCCCAGCGTCCTCCTCCGAAGCCCAGAGAGAGAGGGAGCAGCTGCCCTCACCCTGTCCTTTACCGCATCCCCATTCTCATGGAATGTCTCCCCTCGGAGAGAAACTCCCAGAGAAGAGAAGTGTGACCACATCCCCTCCTCCCCTGAGCTTGATCACTTCTTTTGTTTCTGAAGGGCCCAGTCCATCAGAGCAGTGGTATTGCACTGAGAGCTGGGACACCAGCAGGGGATCACCCCACACTGCCCAGTGTGTGCCAGGCTCAACAAGGTCTGCTTCCCCCCTGATTCCACCAGGCCTCTTCCCTTGGCTGTGGTTTTGCTGGATAGTGGGTCAGGACAGTGAGAATCTCGTTCATCCATTCATTCACCATTTAGGGTCCTGCAGACACTTCCTCAATTTCTCTCCAAGGTGACCTCAGAAAACCAAACATAGCACAGCTCTTGTCCATCTGGTCAAGAATCCCCCAGGAAGATACTCTGGTGTCTCCTCCAACAGCACAAAGCAGCAAAATCCCTGAGGAAAATCTTCCTCCTTGGGTGAGTTCCACAGCAAACAGTCAAGGCAGCGGTCTGAAATGTTTTCCCAGCTGGGCCACAAGACATCTCTGATGGATCCACATTGTCCCTGGGGAAAGAGATGTGCAGAACCCTTCACTAATGCCCTGGAATGTCAAACAGGAATCACAGCCTTGGACAGCTCTCAGGAACCACTTCTCTGTGGATTTTTCTTCCTGAAAGCCCAGGATGTCTGAATGTCCTCCTGGTGCCTCAGGGCCTGGGTAAACAGGGCTTGTCAGAGATGCTGGCATGGCACCAACACCCCCCTCCTCACAGGGCACCTCTGTCACCCCAGTTAGCTCCAAGTGGCTGCCTGGGGACAGGTGCCCACTTCCCCATGTGCCTGGGATAGGCATATCCTGCTCAGGGCCAGTGCTGCCCTGGTTCAGGCCCAGGGCACTGCAGAGACCCTGTGTAGGGAAAAGGGCCCTGGGGAGCTGCAGACGATGGCAGCCAAGGCCAGGGCAGGAGTTTGAGCCTTGCTGGGGATCAGGTCCCTGGCACCCTGCGTGGGGCAGCTGTGCAGAGGGGACACAGGTGCTCTGGGTGGGCACGGTGGCCATGGGTGGGACAGGGTGAGGGGCAGGGCAGGGGACATTGCCCTCTGGACTCTGCTCTGGAGCTGCAGATGTGACTGGATTGGGGCCGGCAGGGAAAGGGAAATGGAGTGCTCTGGCTGTGGCAACAAGGACAGCTGAGGCATTGCCCAAGGCTCAGCCTTGTCTGCAAGGTGATCAAAACTGCCCAGTGCTCCCAGTGAGTGCAGATCCCAATCACCTGCCTGCCCTCGACTCAAAGTCCTCCTACATTCCTGTTTTCCCTGAATCTGGGGTCCTGATGCCCCAGGAAGATGGGTCAGTGCCCACTGCTGTTTCCTCAAAGTGCCAGTGTGGGAACAGGGGCAATTCTGCTGGGACACAATGGATTTTGGGATGGACTTAGCTCTGGGCTGTCCCACAGGGAAAGCTCAGGGAGGGACGGGGCAGCAGAAGATGGGGGTACATGGCTCTAGGGGTGTTGGAGGGTGGATTGTGCTGGAGTCGGGGTTGTCCCCACCAGGGATCCATCTGCTCTCAGCTCCCCCATGCATAGACCAGCCTGCACCAGGCAGTCTCAGAAAGCCCAGGGTGTCTGAATGTCCTCCTGCTGCCTCAGGGCCTGGGTAAACAGGGCTTGTCAGAGATGCTGGCAGGGCACCAACACCCCTCCTCCTCACAGGGCACTTCTGTTACCCCAATTAGCTCCAAGTGGCTGCCTGGGGACAGGTGCCCACTTCCCCATGTGCCTGGGATGGGCACATCCTGCTCAGGGCCAGTGCTGGCCTGGGCCCAGAGCCAGGGCCATGACCCAGGTGCTCTGGGAGGGCTCCGTGGCTGCAGGTGTGACAGGATGAGGGGCAGGGCAGGGCATATTCCCCTCTGAACAGTGCTCTGGGCATGGAGCTTGGTCGGGTTTGGCATATGCAGGGAAAGGGATATCGGGTTGTGCAGATGTGGGAATTGTCACTGATGAGCCATTCCCCAGCCCTCAGCCTTGTCTGCAGGTGATCAGCATTGCCCAGTGCTCTCCAGTGTCTGAAGTGCCTGAGATGCCAATCAGCCACCTGATCACATGTCCCTTGTTCCACGTGTTCTCCCACGTGCTGGGTTTGGGGCCGGGCTCAGCTCTGGGGTGTCCTCCAGGGAAAGGTCTGGGAGGGGAGGGGCAGCAGGAGATTGTCGCAGTCCAGGCGGTCAGGACATAAAGCAGAGACCACAAGCAGTCTCAGTTGGTAACACTTGGCAACAGTTTATTAATGAAAATGGCTGATCTTTTATACACTTTCCAGTTGTTTACCCTTCTTCTTAGCTATTGGCCACAATAATTCAATACCATGCCATTGGTGAAAAGTTACTCTGACTCCACCTAACTTTCTAAAAATGCTTCATCCAGCTGCAGAATGCTCTTATCTTCCTTCTCTCGATCTCCTTGGTTACAGCCTTGGAGAAAGCTCCTTATCAGCTTCTTCTTCTTCTTACTTCTTGCTCCTTTAGCTAACAGGCCCGCTGCTAGCCCCTTCCACAGGAGATGGGGGATCTGGCACTGGGGGCTGTTGGAGGATGGATTGTGTTGGATTGGGGCTTGTCCCCACAGGGTCCTCAGGTGCCTTTGGCTCCCTGCCTGCCCCCCTTGGCCCCCCAGGTGCCTGGGCCCTTCCAGGGGCAGTTGCCCAGTGCAGGAAGCTGGAGGGATCCCGGGCAAGGGGGCTGGATCCGTGCCACAGGTGGGGTGGGATGGACTCTGTGCCAGGGCTGGGCTTGTGGCCNGTTCCTCTCTTAAGACGTGGGTTCCTGAAACCATTGGATCTATAGCTACCCTGGTGCCCGTCAAATATGTTCTATTTAAAAATACTGTGAGAAAACATTTTTTAGGACCAGTTTAGTTGTTTTGGGTTTTTTTCCCTGTTAATAGCAATCTCCACTTGACATTGAAACCTAGTACCTCCTCATGCAGTTTCAAGATATAAAAATTGACACCATTCATGGCTGACAATCAATCAGACTCTGTCCCTATCCCCACCCCACCATTTCCCCCATCCCAGCCCTGGCACTCAGAGCAGCCTTGTGCAAATCTGAGCTCCCTCCAGCCCAGGCTGCACCTGCAGCTTTCAGCTCCTTGGCTCCAACTCCCACCTGCTTTCCTTGGAGAAGGAGCTGCCCGAGACACAGAGGGATGTTCATTTATTGCCAGCCAACAAAGCCAAGGGAAGGCACAGCTCCATCAAATGCAAAAGGCAGTCTTTTCCCTGGATCTACCTTGCACCTGATCCCCGCAGCCTCTCCTGTTTCCTTCATTCCTCCTTTGCCAGGGACTTTCTAGGACAAGGGAGCTCTGCTCTGGCTATGGAAGGAGATGGAAGTGCCACCACTGGAGTGGGAAGCACAGCTCATCAGAGATTCTGTCCTTTGATGAGACTCAGAGGCACGGAAAGATTCTCTTCATGGCCAACGGACCACAGCTGAACAGGACACAATTTAATAACAATCACGCTTTTCCCTGAGCTATGTGCAATATCCCAGCAGCGTCTGATGAGTCCACCATTCACACATGATTTCCATACTAAAATTAATTTTATAGAAACGTGGTTCCTTGATAGATACAAACACAATTAAGTTATTGTATCAGGATGCTCGTTCTGCAGTGGGGACAAAACAGCTCAAACAATTCCTGATTTGCAAAGCTGTCAGTGGTGGATGGAGAAGGGAAGTCAGGCTGCTTTTGGTGTTGAGGAAATGCTGAAACCAGCCTGACTCATTTCATGTCCCACTGTCCTGGCTGATCTCCCCTCTTTCCCCTTCCACCCATTGGCTTTTGTCTCCCACTAGCCCCTGTGAAGAGCCTGGCTCTGTGTTCTCCATCCCCTCCTGGCTGACACTGCCAGGCTGGCATGAGGAGCCCCTCAGACTTCCCTGCTCCAGGCTGGACCAGCCCAGCTCCCTCAGCCTCTGCTCACAGCCCAAGGGCTCCAGCCCCACCTTGCAGGCCCTTCCCAGACCCTGCTCCAGCTGCCAGACATCTTTCGTGCCCTGGGGAACCCAAACCTGGCCACAGTGACCTGGATAATCCCTGTCCTTGATGTCCTGCTCACACAGCCCTGGCCCCTTATCCCCTGTCAGGCTCTGGGGTGGATCCTGTGGAACATCCTTTGGTGGAGGCTGTGGCTCCAGGTGGGCCAGGGGCTCCCGGGGGACAGGGACCCTGCTGGGCATGAACAGATGTTGAAGTGAGGGAGCGACCACCTTTGTTGATTTAGCATCTGACTCCGTTTATTCACTCAATCAATCACTTTTTATAACCGTGTTAATTAAGTTCATGCATATTGCAAAATCTGAGCTCCTGATAGGCTGTAGAGAAAACTTCAGCTCTTCCTTTTGTTTACAATACCTGAAGTTAGTTTACTGAAACCAAGATCAGTGTTCTCACCCTGATATGGAAGGTTCTCAAAACCTTCATATCTATTCCCAGACTGGCCGTCTGTTCCCAGTAGCAGCCAAGGACAGAACGGTCTGAGAATCTTGTTGTTTATATAAAAGGTGGCTGAGAACCTAATTATTTACAGGATCAAGCCTGGGAAAGGCTGCTTTTACAGCAGGCTTCTATATTTCCCTCAGCTGAATACCTTCATGGCCTCATTCTTTAAGCCATGCTTAAACCAGGCTCTCCACAAACAGCATTGGACTTGTTGGGAGAAACTGTGAGGGGTAGCTGGGGCAGAGTGACCAACGCAGTGACCTGACACAGCCCTGCTGGGATGTCACACAGCCCCTCTGTGATGGCACAGCCCATTCTCCAATGCCCCACAGCTGGTCTCTGATGTCACAGCAGACTCTGTGATGTCACAGCCCATTCTCCAATGTCACACAGCTGATCTCTGATGGCTGGTCACAGCTGGTCACAGCCAACTCTGTGATGTCACAGTCAGCTCTGTGATGTCAGACCTCTGCCCTCCGATGTCACAGCTGGCTCTGTGATGACACAGAGGCAGTATATAATGTCATATTGCTCAAACACCTCACATAACCCACTCTGTGATGTCATAGCCCACTCTGTGACCTCATGTTACCAGACGATAAATTGTCTCCACCAGGTGAACTGACACCTGGAGCTTGTTCTCCAAAACCCCAGGCCTATGGAAACCACACAATGCCCATTGTGTGAGAAGGGGAACTGGAAGTTCACCAGCCTCAGTGTCCTGCCAGCTCAGGCAGGTGTCACAGACATCTTTTCATTAAAATATTTTCATTAAGATTTTTCCTGCTGAAGCTGAGAAGTTTCAGCAACAAATGTAAAGAATGGTTATCTGCTGCTGTGGAATGCAACAGGGGGATCCGTGATTGGTCTCCTGTGGATGTTTGGATTTACTGACCAGTCACGGCAGAGCTGGCTCTCACTCTCTCTCTGAGACACAGATCTTTGTTATTCATTCTTTTTTTTTCCATTCTTAGCTTAGCTAGCCTTCTGAGAACCTTTCTCTTCTATTTCTTTTCGTATAGTTATACTGTAGTATATATACCATATAATAATAAATAAAGCCTTCTGATCACAGATCAACATTCTCGCCTCTCTCTTCACCTGCAACCCTTGAGACATATGAATGGGAATACAAGCATCATAACGTCACCCCAGGACACAATGTCACAACCAGGCCCACTGGAACACTGGGGTCCACAACCACCAGGGACCACCAGAGAGACCTCCAGGACAGAAGAATGCATGGGTAAAGGGGAAGGGAAATATGCTAATGATTTTGGGGAAACCATTATCATATTTATGTTTAGTCTGGGAAAATCAATGAATATGTGTGCAAAATACAGAAAATCAAGAAAAATTTTCCTGTTCTCAGCATGCAGGGCTTTGGGAGGAGCTATCCCCTGTGCATCCAGCTGAATAAAGAATGCTGCTTCTTAATGCTACACTGGTGTTAAGGAGTTTTCTGTTTTACCAAATTTTTGGTAACACTCCCACTGCCAAGGAAAGCTCTGTCTGCTGCTGTTCACAAACAGAGAAGGGCTGGTGGCAGATGTGGGGCTCGGAGGCTTTCTGGGGCAAAGTGACCATGAAATAATCAAGTTTTCAATGTTCTGTGAAAGAAGGAGGGGCAGCAACAAAACTTCTGCACTGGAATTATGAAGGGCAGACTTTGGCCTATTTAGGATGCTGGTTTGGGGAGTACCACATCAGGTACTGATTATTTTTTGAAGGGAAACAGCCCTTAAAAACAAAGGGGTTCAGGAGGAATGGAGACATTTTAAAACAGTAATCTTAAGGGGGAAGGAGCAGCCTGTCTCAGTGCGCCAAAACATGATCTAGTGAGGAAAAGGACTGTCCTGGCTTCCCATGCAGCTTTTCTGGGAACTCAGGAGAAGAAAGGACCAGAATTACAGGAAGTGTATAAGAATGTCATTAGATTATGAAAAAAGTGAAGTGGAGAGGTGAAAGCTCAATTAGAATTTAACCTGGAGGCTTGTCTAAAAAGAATGAAAACTGTTTTTATAAAAAAAAATATACCAACAGGAGGGAGAAGGAGGGAGTATAAAGTAACTGAGAATAAGTAAAAGACAAAGCTACTTAATATCTTGTTTGTCAATTTTCAGTATTTGGACAGGTTGCACTCAAGACAAATTTTCTCCTGAGCTGGTGGATGGGCACAGGGAGCAGAAGAGCCCTCTGTAATCCAGAAGAAAGAAGTGGTGAGCCACTCAGGTGCTCACAGGTGTATGGGATTTGATGGGAACCATGCTAGGGGGATGAGGGAGCTGTGGATGAGCTCCCCAAGCTGCTCTCCATCATTTACCATCAGTCCTGGCTCAGCAGGGAGGTCCCAGAGCACTGGAGGTGCCAATGTGAGCCCATCCCCAGGAAGGGCTGGAAGGAGGATCTGGGGAACTCCACGCCTGACCTGCCCAGCAAGGGTTTGGAACAGATCACCTTGAGTGCCATCACAGGGCACCCACAGGATGGCCGAGGGATCACAGCCAGCCAGCGTGGATTTAGGGGTGGCAGGTCCTGCCTGACACACCTGGTCTCCTTTTATGGAGACCTGGTGACCCACCTGTGGATGCAGGAAATGCTGTGGATGTTGTGTACCTGGAATTCAGCAAAGACTTTGACACTGTCTCTGACAGCATTCCCTGGAAAAGCTGCAGCCCACAGCTTGGGCAGGTTCCCTCCTCGCTGGGAGATTTAAGGGCTGGCTGGAGGCTGGGCCCAGAGAGTGGTGGGGATGGTGCTGCACCCAGCTGGTGTCCAGGCACTGGTGGTGTCCCCCAGGGATCTGTGCTGGGCCCAGTCCTGTTTAATATCTTCACT